CAGGTACTCAGAGTCACACTCTGAAAGCCCTTGAGCATTGTCCAAGATGAGTGTCACAGAACACCTGTGCCTGGTCTAGGCACAGAAAGGAAGGTGTCTACTCCATCACACTGGTAGGTCCTCATAACACACTAGCATAGGAAAGGCTCTGTCTGAGAAGTTAGCGCACAAAAATACCTCAAGGCATGGCCTTCCAGATTGCTCATACTCTGGTCACAACTTGATTTTTTACCACATTTCAAGCTCTTCACACGTTTCTCTCTGCCTTACTCATTCCCCACCACCTCCCCTCCCCTCGGCACTTTCCTCACATTCCAGCCCGACAGAAGTGGCCCATCTCTCCTCTGTGCTCACTGCATGCCATCTGAGCCTCGCCTTGCTGGTGCCTCATTCCTATAGTGCTTCTTTATCCACCTGGAAAATAGGATCAGTACATGTCACCCATTCTATGAGGCTTTCTCTGACTCACAAAGTAAATTTAGTTACTTGCTCTACTGGGTCCTATTACACTTTGTACAAAGCTCCAATTACAGTTAGACTTCTGCACTATCATTCATTGTCTGTATGGATTAAACTGTGAGCCCCTTGAGGGCAGGAACTAAGTGGTGTTATTCATCTGAATGTCTTCATAGCACATTACAGATGCTCAGCAAATGCTTTAAGAATGAAAGGTGGCCAGGCGTGGTGGTTCCTGCCTGTAATCCCAGCACTTTAAGAGGGCAAGGCGGGTGGATCACTTGAGGTCGGGAGTTCAAGACCAGCCTGGCCAACATGGTGAAACACCATCGTTCTAAAAATACAAATACTAGCCGGGCGCAGTGGTGGGCGCCTGTAGTCCCAGCTACTCAGGAGCCTGAGGCACGAGAATTGCTTGAGCCTGGAAGCTGAGGTTGCAGTGGGCCAAGATTGCACCACTGCACTCCAGCCTGGGTGACAGAGCAAGACTCCATATCAAAAAAATAAGAATGAAAAGGGAGATGACTTGATGCCTGTGTAGATGGCTGGATGGATGGATGAACAAACACAGCAGGGGAAGATACAGAAAAGCAAACCAAGAGGAAGCAAAGGCCAGATATTCCATCCTCATGTGGTTGTTTCTCTGGGGGCGTTTTGCACCCCTTTATTAGCCCTTCATGTGTGGAGTGGAACTCAGGGCAGAGCCTTCATTTCCAACTAGACAAATAAAGAGTATCCCCATGGCAAAGAATGCTGGGCACACCCTCATGATCTTTTCTGCTTTCTCAGTAACAATATCTCCAAGTATTATCTGGGTACTAGAGTGAAGAGGTCTTCCCAGTTTGTCTGGAACTGTCCCAGTTTTAAAAGTGAAAGTCCAGCATTCCAGGAACCACTTCAGTCTAGGGCAAACCAGGACAGTTGGCCATCCTCCTAGCAATATTGCTGCCTGGGATAAAATCTACACGTCCTAGCATCCTATGCAGCAAGAGGAGAGCATGTACCTGGTTTCCTTCCTATGGGACATCAGTGGAAGTGGCACATTCAGCTTTTGGGAATGTCCTCAAAGGAATAGGGGAGTGCCCTTCCCCTTCCCTCTTTTGCCTCCACACTCTAGAGCACAAAGATCACTGTATCTAGATAGACATTTGGACCCACAAGAACAAACTGCATGATAAAGATGGTCAAGTGAGTAGACAGAAGGGGCCTGGATCCTCTTAGCACTGGAATGCCCTCATTTATATGAAAGAAAGAAACTTTCATCTCATTTCAGCCCTTGTTATTTGTGGCTTCTGTCACTCACTGCTGAACTCCATCTTCAAGGATGGAGTTTCTGCCTGCTGAAAAGTAGGGATTCTGATGTCATCATCACCCCTGGGTGCTGGCTCCTGAAAATCCCTCCTCTTCATGTTTCCCAGTCCCTTGTATTATGAAAATACCTAGTGTTGAAAGTGAGAGTAGCTCATGCCTTCTGGCCCAGGTACCAGGTCCCAGTCTGTGTGTCTGGTGCAGGTGACCATGGCAGTCAGTCCAGTCCCTCCCACCTCTCATGTGCAAGCCACTGAGAGCTCCCCCAAGTCTAAGCCAGAGGAGGCTCTGATGAGTACTAGACACAGCTGAAGTTTTATTCCAAAGCGTGAACAAACTGAGGGATTGTGTCACAAGCGTTCAACCAGTTGATGAGTTTTGGTGTGTTAAAGTTTGGGCATAGCACTCTTGAGTCTTCATGATGGTTTTCGTTCTTAAAAGTTAAAATATATTTACGAATGAGATTTAAATAAAATGTTTAAGGAATCCCAGAAAGAATGGAAAGAAAGGAAAAAAGGAAGGAAAAGAAGGAGGGAGGGAGGGAGGGAGGGATAGAAAGAGAGAGAGGGAGGAAGTGAGAGAGGGAGGGAAGGAGAGAGAGAAGGAATGAAGGGAGGAGGGGAGGGGAGGGGAGGGGAGGAGAGGAGAAGAGGAGACCCTATGTTACCAGAATCAAGGCCTCTAGGACAGAGCCTTCCTTCAGCCCTTTGGGAAAGAACTGTCAAACTCACTGCCCTGCTTTCCAGTGATATAAGGAGGAATGACAGGTCTAGTATGACTCGGGGTCCGAGAAGAGAAGGAAATAGGAGTGCCCATCATCGTGAGACAAAGCGTTTTCTAAGTGCTCAAGTGGAAACCCATCACCCCACAACAGAGGCACTCAGGTTCTCCCGTGTGTTCCAAAAAGCCATGTTAAACTAAATATCGACACAAGAGGAGCACACATGGCATCACTGGGCTGCATCTGTGAGGAAGTTACCCCATATCCTCTGAAAGAAAGGGGGCACAAGCTGCTCTACACCCCCCAGGGACAGAGGCCTGGAGTCAGCCGTAACTCCACCCTGAATGTACTCCGAAAGTGGAGGTGGAAGATGAGGTCAGGGCCTGAGGCCCGTGTGGGGCAAGGAAGGGAGCCCAAGGCCAGGCATCCAGGCGCAGACTCAGCCAGGAGTCCGGGGACTAGAATGCTCATTTCTTAGGGTTTTTTGGTTTTTTTTTTTAAAGTGTGTTTAGACACTATTTCTCTGAATGTCTTTCTGTTCTACATATTTTGTCATTTCATTTTCTATTAAAATCTCTTTTGAAAAAAATCACTATTTCTTATCACAATAATGATGAGGAAATTCATTTCAAAATATGGTGGTGAGAAGGGTTCAAAATGTGAATGCCCCACTCTCTAAGCAGTAACTGGCAGGTCATTTCATCTTGAATGCACCTCACTCTTCTTTATGAACAGCTGGAAATATCAAGGAGTGTTGGTCAGCTGCACTGACTTATTCATCCTTCTTTCCTTTTTTACTTCCCTTGGATGCAGAGCGTTATGGCATATTGTCATCATTAGCAGGTCCAAGGCCTCTCTCCTGGTTGGTTGGTTTGTTTTTCTTATTCTCTCTTCCACACTTTCTTGGCCAACCCACTATCCATAGCCAGCCATTTTTTTTCTTTTTTTTCTGGAGACAGAGTCTCGCTCTGTCACCCAGACTGGAGTGCAGTGGAGCAATTTTGGCTCACTGCAACCTCCACCTCCCAGGTGCAAGTGATTCTTATACCTCAGCCTCCCGATTAACTGGGATTACAGGCACCCACCACCACACCTGGCTAATTTTTGTATTTTTAGTAGAGGCGGGGTTTTGACATGTTGACCAGGCTGGTCTCAAACTCCTGACCTCGAGTGATCCGCCTACCTCAGCCTCCCAGTGCTGGAATTACAGGCATGAGCCACTGCCTCCAGCCATACAGGCAGCCGTTCTAACATGTTTATTGATAGCCTCTTTTTCCATGTGTCCCTATAAAATGTATATGACTGTTTTGAATGTATACAGTTTTAACTTATGTAAATGATCATTTGTCCTTTATCTGAAGCTTTTATTGTGTTCCACTCCACACGATGTAGTGTTTTTAGCTCCAGCACTCTTGCTCTGGGTGTATCTGGCCTGTTCCTCAGTATTACCATATTATCCACATGCTGCCCAACACTCCTCAGGACAGATGCCCAAAATATCCCAAATTCCCACCAATACAAACAACACTGGGATGAACATCCTTGCATGTGCCACCTTATGAACATGGGAAGAATGTGAACGGGATGTATACACAGTGCAGGATTGCTGGTCATAGAATACAAACAGAGCTGATATGAGAATACTGAAACTCTTCTGCATTGGCTGGTAAATAACCACACCCCCAAGCTCCATGAGCATCCTTCCTGTTGCCCCAGCCCTGTCCCTGGGACACTTCAGACTTTTCTACCTTCTCAAAAACTGAAGAGTTAATGTCTGGACCAGCTAGAACTGACAGTCTTTCTAGCAGTTGTTAAATATTTGAATATCATCCCCAGATATAATATGATTGTTTCAATCCTTATTTCGCTACAGAACAGCTAAAAACAAAAACTTACCAGTCCAATCTCCAGTTCAATCTTTAAGAAATAGTAGAGCTACAGGAACCCTGCTGATATTTCAATCGGCGTTACCAAAGTCATGTTCTACGCTGTCTGCCCAGAGATGTGGGAGCAAGCAGGCTGTGACTAGCCTTCTAATGTCAGGGGCAATGCAGCCAAAGGCAGTTGTCACAGCAGGTGAAGAGCACTGGACTCCATACCTCGAGTTCTACCTGAGCCCCATCCCTCTCTAGCTGAGTGCCTTTGAGCATATCATTTCTCTCTCTGATCTTCAGTCTCCCCATTTGCAAGATGCTCTTCCACAAGGTGGGCATGTATTCAAATAAATGATTTGATAAAGAACAATAGCAGGGAAAGGAAAAGCTATATGGAGTCAGGCTCAGTATTATACTAGCTGAGTCACCTTGTTCCACCTGTGCCTCAGTTCCTCTCATGCAAAATGAGGATAATGATACTATATTGTAAAGTATGAAATTCAATGTGCCACTGACATCCTTGAACCCCACAGGTCTCCAGAGGCTTAGCTGTGAGTTCCCATCCTCTCTCCAGATATGCCCCCACGCAGTAGTAAAGGCTGCCTTCCTGGTTGTATCGCCTCTCAGCTGGACCAGCTGCATCCCCTAACCCTAACTCAACCTAGTGGATTTCACTTCCCTGCCAGCACACAAGGCTACTCATAAAACCGATCACATCCTCTTAAAGAAACCAAGAGGCACCTGAGGCTGTTATTATTGCAAAGCCTGCCTCCCACAGTCCCTGTTGGTTCCTTCTGCTCCTGAGTGCCACCCCATGTGGCCCTGCATAGCAGGCAGCAGCCTCCTCCCCCAGGCTGTGAGTATATGTGACTAATAAACTGCTGTCAGAGCCACCTGTCAAGTGTCAAATATCCTATGTGCAGCCATCCCATACTATTTAGAGCAAAGGAGTCCACCTTTACCAGCGGAGTGACTAAGAGGTAATCAGAACAGATGCCTGTCTTAAAGAGTTGTGAAACTGAAGGGAATGATATACATAAAGCACCTAGCACCTTGCCTAAGTCTGGTAGAAGCTCATGCAAACAGAAATAAAAGCAAACAATAATGTAGCCGGGACAGGCTGTTGGTAACAGCCAGAGGTTGAGGCACTGCCCGAACCTGGATGGGAATCAAGCAGGATCTCTCTTATGTGCTTTTGAAAAGACCCTACCTTGTGCTGACTGACTTCATGTTTCATTGCCAAAAATGAAAAAAAAAAAAAATTTAAAAATACACTCCTATGAACATGCTCTTTTTTGTATGACAATAAGAAATTTCATTCGAAATTAAAATGGTGACTGCTTGGACAGGCTATATTTTTGCATTTTCACGATCTGAACAATAAGGGTATAATAAAAGACTGCTTTCTTCTCCAAATCCCCAGGAACCTGAAAAGGATGCCTGGTCTCTGGAATCCACGGCAGCAATGGGCGATAAGTAGTCGGCATCTGGGTGACAGCAAACTGACTCTGCTCTCAAGTCTCATCAATCCACATTGTAAGTCACACTATGTCCCTTTGACTCCATTTTCTTACCTGTAAAATGGGGATTTTGAACTTACTAATATGCCAGACACAAAGCTAAAGAAAGAAGCTGAAGAGACAGGATAAAAAAGACGAATAACAGGTTCCTCCCTGTAAGAGCTCACAATTCAGTGGGCTGACACCATCTGCCTTATCCACCAGATAGAGTGTTAGGATAACATAGCAGGATAGAGAGTTGAGAGATAAGAGCACTATATAATGTGACAGGAACTGCTGCTTGTCACTCAATTTCCATTCTGCCCTGATATCTTAGTAACAGAACTCCCATTTTTATAGGGCTGACATGTCCCCAACTAAACACATTATATTTCTCATCCTGTCTTGCAACTAGTGTATAGAGACCAACTTTTAGAATCATAAGCCTATGCATTCTCTTATGTTTCCAGGGAGTCTCTGAAAATAAGAGGCATGCCCTTTTCCCTTTCTTCTTCCAACCTCCCGCCTAGAATGTGGATGAGGTGACTGGAGTTCTTGCAGCCATTTGGGGCCATGAGAACAATGGGTACATCCCAGGGATGGCAAAGTGTGAGCTCATTAGAATCTGGGTCCCTCACCTCTTTGCAGGGCTATTTTATCAGTGTTGTATACTGCAAATCACTGGACTTCTTTTACATGAGAAATAAACAGCTAATGTATGTATATGTGTGTGTGTATGTGTATATTAATGCAACTGATTCCAATCTCAACTGATACAACAAATATTTAACATTAATAAGTATGACACATAATCCCAACTTTATTTAGCTCTTAAAGCTCTCATGAGATTCATTCTAAAACTAACATGCTTCAAGAATTTTTTTAACTTCTGTAATATCAAGTGATATAGTGGTGCTGAACAATGCAGGTGTTTTCACAACTATCTTTAGGAGATTCAAATCAATGCTTGGGCTCAGATCACTTTATGACTGAGAAGTGTGGAAAATTCTACTTTCTTTTGAACTAGTAGTTGGACTTCCAGGAGAATAAATCAGCTAGACATGACTTGAGCCAACATGTTTCCTCATTCACAAGCATATGCACATGCTTACCTGCATGGATGGACACGTGCTTTCAGGAAGCCACACCTATGTATCACACACATACACAGCCACACACAGCTAAACTTTCACACCCATACTCAATAGCAGGATCCAATGGGTTCCCTGCAATTGTGAAGGTCCTAGATTTTCTCTTCACCAGAACACTAAGCTATTATGAGTTATTATTTTCAATAACTTGGTTATACAAGGCTGGAAGTGGGGTGATGAGTCATAAAGAACAAGAGCAAGAAAGCTTGGCAGTCAGTCCTTGATGGTGAAGGTGGATTCATGGAAAAGCAGAGAAAGGCAGACTCCCTTCTATGCAAAAGTTCCAGGGTCAAAAGGAGAATCTTGATGAGCCAGGAGCAATCTGGACATCCGGAGGCCTCACCTTCATGGAGGATACTGCCATAAAAGTATGAGTTAAGCTTCACCCTGAGCTTCTGTCCTCCTCCCTCCAGGCCTGCTGCTCTAGACAAGCAATTCTCAATTGATTCAACCACTGCTTGTATATTTTGCTATCTCCTTGAGCTCAGCCTCTAGCTCTGAACCCAGTCCTTTGAGAGACCCCTGGGGGCTGTACACTATGCTCAGGATTTAAGAAAACACAAAAATGAAGAAGACATAGTCTCTGCTCTTAAGAAGTGAGCATTCTATCAAATAATCAAGAAATAAACATTCATAGCCAACTCCATAAAAATATATAGATAATTACAGGAGTTGATACAAATCTTAGAACCTTGGGAAATTCTCAGTTGTCTCATCCACAACTTAAGAATAATAATTTCTGCCCTCAGAAACTTGTGATCTTAGAAACTACCCTCACAAATTATTTAGAGATTCTCTCTACTACTCAGCAAACCTTTTACTCAACTCTAGTTTATTCAACATTTCCCACAAAACCCCATCCAAGTCTTCTTCACTCTAAACCATGGAAATCTTCATACCAATTCAATCCCCAGGTCTCATTCATAGTAGAGAACCTGTTTACCTATTTACTAAGAAAATAGAGGCCACGGGAGGTATGGTCTCTCAACTTCCATCTTGTCTATCTTGAAGTCTCCCTTTTTCTCTTGCTTTGAAGAAAGATGCTTATACCCAAGTACTTTGGAGAGTCAAAACAATAATGACCAAGAGATCCAAGAAGACCATAACGAAAGAGAGTTTTAATAAACAATCACTGCTATTGTTTTAATAAACAATCACTGGCCTGAATGTGTTCCCCAGAATTTATGTGTTGAAACTTAATGGCCAATGTTACAGCATTAAGAGGAGGAGAGCCCTCATAGATGGGATTAGAGCCCTTATAAAAGGGATTAGGCAAGGGAGTTTACTCCCCTTTCACCATGTAAGGAAATAATGTACAAGGGCAACCTTGGAGGCAAAGACCAAACCTACTGGTACCTTGATCTTGGATTTCCCAGCCTGAAAAACTATGAAAAATAAATTTATGTTATTTACAGATTGCCCATCTCAAGTATTTTGTCATAGTAGCATTAATGGACTAAAACAATCAGCAAGAAGCTAATTTACAACTGTAACATGAACGTCTCAGCCTTGTGGAAATTTACAGTCTTCAGAGTTGTTTCAGAGCTTCTTACCACTTACCTCTTTTGTAGCCTTGAGCATGTAGCTCAACTTTAATTCATTAATTTATTCAACCAACATTTTAAGTTCTATTGAGTGCCAAGTGCACTAACCAAAGATACCAGTTAATCATTCTAAAATGAGGGTAATACTAATATTTACTTACAAGTTTGTCTTGAGGTTTCAGTGCCCCACCATGTACAATAGGGAATAATAAATATGAATTATCTTCCACTGTTGTTCCTGGCCCTGGCTACCCATACTCCTTTTCTGTATATAAAGATAAATTTCTCATAAACAAAATAAATTCCTAGTTGGATAATGAAGAGCATCAATATAAATTTTGAATAAACCTCAAGGCATACCCTTCCATTCTCACAATGAAGTACTGGGCTGTAAGTAATCTGGTTGAACTGAATTCTTGTATATGTAAACTATCCCAGGGCAGAGTCGGCAAATACTGTCATATGATGACAAGCAGAATCCCTCAGGCTAAAGGGCTAGAAACATGGTTTCCAAATATGGTCTTCCTGGCAGTCAGAAGAGCTATGTTTCCATTCACTCTTTCCACCAGTCAACAAATGTTTTCCTAACATTAACATTGTACCAGGCTGGGTGCAAAGAACTGAGATTATATTAAATATGAATTTCAAGGACACAGATTTAGAGGTACAAATCTTAATTGTCTTTATTTCTCGTGGCAGCAGAAGACAATTTTGGTAATTCCAGGTAAATCTGGTAACTCCTAAAGTTGAACTCTGTTAATTCAGGCTCTTTCTCTGCCCTCTTCCTTCTCTTATCCCTTGAAGTATCTGTGATCATGGAGGGCTGTGCATCACCCATCAATGGGGTAAGTGGAGTAAAGTCTCCACAGTGGGCCTCTGCCCACACTGGCCTCTGCTGGGATGGGCTCCCCACGGCTTGATGCTCATCCTACGACCATGACTCATCACTGATGTCCACCTGCTGACTGGGCCCTCAGTTGCTCATTGAATGCATTCTGTTCCCTCATGGCCCTGACCCCAGTGCTTCTGGTCCATCACTTACGGCATTTCCAGAGTACCTTTATAGGGTTCAGAAACTCTCAGCCCCTTCCCCTTTACTCAAGGCTCCTCTAAGGCACTTGGCCTCTCAATTCCAGCTGTCACTCCTCTGGTTTGATCACCATGCTGAAAGCAGATATTGCTAGCAAAGGTGGAATTGGTATCTTTTGCCATGGGATTTTTCCAAACTTATCTGGGATTTCCAGCTTCCTCCCCTTAACAGGGCCTCCACCAACTCTCTTGAGGCTAAATCACAAAGGACTTCCCACCATCTCATGGCAAGCTCTGTGTAGAAAAACTGGTTCTTCAACTATTCTTTTTTCCATCTGGCATCTGTGCCAGGACTTGGCTCTTGAACTTCAATAATTAATCCCTTTCTCTCAAAGTCATTGTTTTGGGCTTCAAGTGCCTATTTTGCCAGTCCCAAGTGGAACTCTGACATTTCTTTCGCTTTGCACTCCCGTAATAACAACTGCAGTCCTCCCTGAGGTGACAGGATGCCTCTGACTAGTGAGCAAATTATGTACAAAAATCATGGAAGGGGAAGCACTCTGGTTAATATTTTAAAACGCTGTCTAACTACATATTAACCCACATATGGTTCCTGCATTGAAAAGCTGACAGTCAGTAAGTAATTTTCACCAAATGGTGAGTTTTAGGCCAATTGACCAGATCCAGTGTAAACTGCAAAGATTGGCTGTAATTAGTAAAAGCTGATTTGTAAAGCAACCCATAGATTCAGCCCTATTCCAAACATTTGTGGAGCCACAACCAGAGTTCAGATCAAGATCCCCAGCCCTTGACCCAATACTCCTGCTTTTCCATCTGGTTCCTTCCAATAGCCTCAGGGAACCCCACACTCATCTTGAAGGACACCTCAACCCACAGTCAAGATGTCTATAAAGCATGGCTTCAGAATATGTTGTGCCAGAAGGTTTTCATTTTCTCAGATGTGTTACCATCTAGAGATCATGTTTAAGCTAATGTCTTGGCTTCGTAGTTCTGTCGACCATAAGACCTAGTATAAATATAAAACCCAAACCTGTCTGTGAGAGTAGAAAAAAATGATTCCATCCAGAATCCACACTGGAATGGGTAAGCTTTCTTGACAACTCTTTTTCCCTCAGTATTGCATCTAGGCTTTATGTAAGGCTGGAAGTTACTGTCAATATTTATTGATTCAAAAGATTTATCAGAGCAAAGGATGGATGGGTCTTGAGGAACGCCAAGTCATTACTTTTTCCCAGGAAAAGGGAGCAATTTAACCTTACAGAAACTGAGATCCACGTTTGGCCAATTAGCCATTCCCACCCATGGCTTTCTATAAAAACAGATGGTGCAA